CTCTTCTGTCCTCCACAGGCATTGCACGACATGGGTGCACTTACTTACATGCAGGCAATACACGCATGCACATAAAATAAAAATAATAAATAAAATATTTTTTAAAATGTAGCCCAGCTGGGCATGGTGGCATACAACCTTAATCCCAGCACTCAGAAGAATCTCTGTGGAATCGAGACCAGCCTGGTCTACATAGTGAGTTCCAGGCCAGCTGGGGCTACTGGAAGCTCCTTTCTCAAAAAAACAAAAATTGGGGGGGGTGGAATGTAAGAGGGTGCCAGTGGGGATGGGGGCATAAAGATGATTAAGATTGTTTGAGATATTCTGTATGAATTAAATTCAATAAAAATAATGATAAGAAAAACTTAAAAATTAAAAAAGTGTCCCATTACACCTGCTGTTTTTTTTTCCCCCTGAGGAGTCTACATGAGTATAGCCATTCTTTTGCTGATGGCACAATTGTTGAAGGGCACAAATGATAATAAATACTTAGAGAAATCATTGTATTGCTAGATTTTGGGGGGAATAATAAGACGAATACAGGATATTTTAGTGAGAAACCCTACAGGCAGATAGATAGCAGGGAAGAGTTAATGGCTGGTTGGAAACTTATGTTGAGCCTGAATTCATAGCTAACAATCTTTCTTTAATCAAAATGCTCTTAAATGCCAAAAATTTAATGGCCAAGGTACCACTGAGATGTTCACTCCCAGGAAATTTTTGGTCATTGAGAGTATCTTTACTATCAACTGAAAAGAAATAAATGTTTTATGGGTGATTCAGTTTTACCTGATATGTACCCAACATTTCAAAAGAATGAATTAGTCATTCTGTTTGAATCATCTTTACATGTTCCATTTAGTAAAAAGCTCAAAGTCAGTTAAATGGCTAGCACTATTTCACAAAGGAAACAAGAAGCAGACATACTGAAAAAGACATTTCTGTGTTGAAAGTCTGATTTTGACATATCACAGGAATAAATTATCAAGATAAAAATATATGGAAACTGAGAATATTTCTGGAGTCAACTATCAATATAAAATTGCTGGCATAGCCAGATCTGGCATAGAGTTGGGGAAATGAGAGTAATTCATGCCAAGTTGATGGCACTGGAATAGCATGTAATTGTAGAAAAGCCATCTCAGAGATCAAAATTGTTAAGAGTTAGAACATACTGTGGAGGTCATCCCTTCATGAGGAACTGGTAAATGAATGCTGGTAAACATTTAATAATCTCTATGGGAGGAAAAAGCTCTGATTTGTGGTTTTTGCCAATTTCTGTGGTGTAAATTCTGATTTCAGGCTGTTAAGATAAGGTCACTGCAATGCAAATTAGGAAGAGATGCACAAAATGGGTTGCCCTAAGCCAATATCAGAGAGCTTGACATGGTAATGGTTCAACACCATCATTTTACAAAATAGAAAGCAGTTGAGTGACTTGCTTTGGGTCATACAGCTTAGCTTCATTCTTGCAAGTTTCTGTCCAGTGCTTTTTCTCAAGATTAGAGTGCTTATGAGGAAAGGACTGTAATCGGTTGCCAAGCCTAACTTCCCTAACCCAGCTACATTTGCCTTTTGGGGGCTTCTTACACTGAGTTTAAACTACAGTGTGATTGTCTTTCTTGATAGACTGTGATCTCACTGACAGTTGGAAAGTGATGTATTCATCTTTGTGTCTTCAGCCCTCTTCTTGGTATCTGGAACATTGCTCATTAGACTTTTCTGAGGGTATGAACAATGATAAGGGGAACATTTGTTTACTTACTATCTGTAGGCATTGTTCTTAGTGTCTTACAGGGATTCACTCATTGAATTCATAGTAATAACCATCACAGGTGAGGTAGGGATGATAATCACTCTAATATTTTAGAAGAGAACATAGAGTTATTTGCCTAAGGTCATAGACTGAGTGGATGAATTCAAATCCTACAGCCTGGCCTCAGAGCCTGTGCACTTGGCCATTTGACTGTCACTCAATTAATTCTCAGTGTCATCAACTCAGATACTTCCTCCACTCCTTAGGAAGGAACAAAAATCTACAGGAGATCTGATCTGAGCAATAGGCCCTTTGTAAATGAAGACAGGTCTTAACTACCTCGAATGGTTAAGAAAAAGAATTGGATTAGATGATTCAGTTTTCTCGTCTGAGGATTACATAGAAACCTATGTTTTAAATAAAAACCCTGTTGTTGATGAACATTTTCTTTAATAAAAGCAAACAAAGTCAGCCAGTCTTTGATATCTCAGTCTGAAACATAACATCACTGTTGGCTAATGAAAAGAAGGTGCAGGAGAAGAGGGCACCGACTCCAGTGTGTGTTCTGAAAGGTTTTTGTCTTTAGATTAAAAAATCCTTCCCTACTGGCTTTTTGATTTGTTGTCTCACTAAGTGAGATATCAAAATGCTCATTTGTACACTTCTTAAATTCTAGTTAATTAAGGTTTAGCAGTGAGTGACATATATATCAACCTTAAAATATGAATATTATTTTTAAGACAATGTAATCCCTCATATTGTAAAAATAAAAATGTAAAAACATCATTTTGAAGACTCCTCCTTAAAAGAGAACTAAAAGTTACGAACACCCAGTACTGTTTTAATGAACATCACCTTTGATACAAATTAGTGATAATATTGTGTGTCTTTCCTTTGGGAAGTAAGGATTCATTTCTTTCTTTTTATCATATTTTCTGAAGAAAATACAGAAATAATGTTCCCAGTTTTGGAAGATATATTGATATATGTCATATTCAGAAAGACATTTAATTTTTCACATAATGTACTCTAGACTGGTAGACAATTTGTCCCTAATCTTTCTTTTTATTCCTTCTTGTTTCCCCTCACTAGCACCAAAAATGTTCTAGTATATTTCAAAACAATGAGAATTTCAAAACAGTATATAGAAGTTCTGTTCCCTTTCTTTCTATATACTCTAAAATGGTCAGACGTCTTCAGAGACTTCTCTCTTTGATACTTAAAAACAACACATGAGAGGGTTGTACCCTGGGCCCAGGAATGGATGGACAGCCTTAAGTCACATGGATATGGGGGAAAGGGCTGGCATCAGAGGCCTGACTGTGTAACCTCTGCTGGAGTTCGGATCTCTCTGAGCTCAGGAAGCTGCTTAGGTGTCAGTGAGGCATCTGAGTGTAGATGGGCCCTGTCTGTTAGGCACAGAATTGCATTTTGATTTTAACTGGGTGACTTCTGACACACATGTGTATACAGAAGAAGATAATCATACTTCCTTCTTCACAGGATGTTTGTGAAGATAAATCAGAGGGTTTAGCAGGATGCCTGACATGTGGTAAGCACTTAATGCATGTTGTCATTTTTATTATTATATGGCTTATACCTCTTCCAGCTCTTCACCTCATTGAAATTTTGTTTTGCCCTCTGGGGCAACTGCAGTTTTCCAGCTTTGCTTATGCATCACTTCAAAGCCTCCCTCTTCAAACAGATACCTTCACATGGACTCTGAAGGTCACTGTGTCCTTGACTGTCTGCCCTGAGTTCCCTCCATCTTTTATGAATATGAAGAGGAAGTTACAGCACCATGTATCCTACCTTAAAGGAGCCTTAGAGTTAACCTTTCGTTTGCTGATCTCCACTTGCATACTCTGGTATAATTATCTTGAACCTCTTCATCCAGCTGAAGCCTCTACTCCCTCCTCTACATCCATCACTTTAAACAGATGTATATATGCCCCAATTTACTTTTGGAGCATTCAAATCTCATGTTTTAACTCCCTCACTGTTCATATGTTTTCATCTAACTTCTCTTTTGCTTTCTCAGAGAACATGGGCTCTCTTCTGCTCCAGGGATCTTAGAAATACTCTTTGGATTATTGCATCATCAGTTCCATCCTTCATTTGTGTCTGTTGACCCATTCTTGGGCTCTACTGCTTGTTGCTGGTCTGTCCATACCATGTGCTCTCCCCTGGTTCTCTGCCTTTGCACAAAACTACTGTGCCTGCGGAAGTCCTCGTTCTCTGTTCTCCTTGAAGACTGAGTTCCAACATCATTTCCTGTCTGGCTGATTGCCCTCCCTTTATATCCCCATATCTCTGTTAATTCATTGCCTCCACCAAGGGACTATAAGCTTTCCAAAGAAGGGTACCATGCCTTTATAGTACCAAATCAATGTTAATAGAAGAGGAAGTCCTACAAATAAGCATGCATCTTTCCTACAGTTTAACAATAAGCTCCACTTGAATCTGTTGCCTTCTGCTTGTTCTTCCTTGAAAAAACATGCTATTTCCTCAACACACATTCCCTCGCACTTTAACAGCCTGACTATTCAAGGCTACTGTTAAATCCATTGAAACCACTCTTTTGAAGATCAGCAAAGATCTACCTCCCATATTGACCATGCTTCTTAGATCCTCACCTGGCTTCTAGGACCCTGCAGTAATGCTGGTTGTTGATGTCTCAATGACCTTAGACTTCGTTGACTCCATAACAAATTCTTTTAATACAATATTCACCTATAAAAGTTCATTGGCCATCTTTTCTCATTTAGTCCCAACACATCAGTCTTAGTTTTAACTATCAGTTCTATACAGATAGATGCAAAGTTTTTATTATTATTATTACATTATTATTATTATATTATTATTGTCATTCTAAGTTTCCAAGTGCACCACTATGGTTGAGTTTTGGATTTACATTCCTTCCTGGAACTCATGTTTCCACTTGCCACCGCCTCACTCAAAGCAGAAGCTCTCTCACCTGGACCAGTCATGTACCTTTCCCGGTAAGGGCAGCCTTTCCTCAAAATCTTTCTCATTATTCACCTCCATTCCTTGGCATAAATGCTCTGTCTGCTCAGAAACTTCATTTGTCACTTATTCCAAACACTTGCTTCCTGGTGAACAACTGAGACCTACCTATCATTCCTGTAGTAGATTTGTGACTTTGAACTTACTGCTTAATTTTTATTTACTCACCGATTCAATGTATGTTTGTTTAACACCAGCTGTGTTCCAGGCTCTGTGCCCAATACTTGCAATACAGTAGAGTCAAACAGATACTGTCTTTTCTCTTCTAGACCTTATAACATAATGAACATGTACCATTTCTCATAATCTGAATCCTAAGCAGAGGCCATCTCATCTTCCCTTCATACTTGTAGTATTTGGTTTGTGCCATCTGGAGTGTTGTGATACCAGATAGTTTAATCATAAGTGTATATGTGTTACCCATTAACCACTTTTTAGCCTTACTGAAAGGCAGGGACTATGACACATTTTCCATTTCCCGTGGTGTAAGCACAGCCATGCACATAGTAGTGACTCAGTGAATTTTGTTGTGGTTTCGTAGACCCAAAGTTAGTCTTTAGCATAGATACAAAGCTCAGTGTGGTTTTAAGGTGTCCTTTTGTCCTATCAGAAAGCTAAAGTGATAGCTATTTACTTTTTCATTCTGCTGCCTCTTCTTTCCAACATTGCCCTGCCCCCGCCCAACTGCCCATGGCAATCATGAGTGGAATTCACATGTTTTAACTTTTAAGTAACTGAATAACAAACTAACCATGTTTCCTGGGAGAAATATTGGTCCATGTGTATATAATGGAATGCTGAAATAATGTTCCTTTTACTAAACAGCTTTTTGACTTGATAATGAACAATATGTTGCTTTTCCCTGAGAAATCATTCTACAACTTTAGTTCTGAAGATTAAGTTTTATTTTACATATTTTGAGCCGGCTTTTTATTTTGAAGACCCAGTGATATTGTGTTAAGCATTGGTTTGTCTGAAACAATAGGGTAACTATAGCCAAATTATAACCATACCTTTCCTCTGCACACAAAATCCTATAAAGAGCATGTGATCATATTGCTTCTAGGATTTATGATTGTTTTCTTCCAAAAGGAAGCTAAATTTAGCCTAGTGATTCTACATGCTCCCAAGGAAACAATGCCTGCTGTGATTTCTAGAATAAATGAATCTGAACCACAGTTCCTTTACTTGACTAACCCAGAAAGTTTAAATATCAACCTAGTCATTAGCCACAGATATGAAACCACATTAAGCAACCAGCAAGGGGTTAAGAAAGAAATGTGCTATGTTTCTTATTTCATCGCTGAATGCCTCTCAGTTGCTGCGTATGGGCCTTAATACAGAGCATTGTTTGCATCTCATAATGGTGTTCGAAAATTACTCGTTCGTGGTTTATCTTCTAAAATTAAACTATGTGGAGTCATGTCCAGTAGGACAGTGCATTGTTAAGTGAAGCCAGCTAGTGGTTTTTGTTTTCATTCTTTGTAAAAATCCCAATTAGGAAATGTTATTTCTGATTGCTTGGCTTGAGTAGGGTTTCCATTTTTTTCTTCGTTTCTAATGACAACTAAACTGTTCTTGCATCCAACGTGTCTTGGCAGATCAGTTTCTCACAATGAAGGCCCCCACTGTGCTGGCACCTGGCATCCTTGTGCTGCTGCTTACCTTGGTGCAGAGGAGCCATGGGGAGTGCAAGGAGGCCCTGGTGAAGTCCGAGATGAACGTGAACATGAAGTATCAACTCCCCAACTTCACCGCAGAAACCCCCATCCGGAATCTCATCCTGCACAGACATCATATTTACCTCGGAGCCACGAACTACATTTATGTTTTAAATGACAAAGACCTTCAGAAGGTGGCAGAGTACAAGACTGGGCCTGTGTTGGAACACCCAGATTGTTTTCCATGTCAGGACTGCAACAGCAAAGTCAATTTGTCAGGAGGCATTTGGAAGGATAACATCAACATGGCCTTGATTATTGACACATACTATGATGACCAGCTCATTAGCTGTGGCAGTGTCAACAGAGGAACCTGCCAGCGCCATGTTCTTCCACGTGACAACCCTGCTGACATACAGTCTGAGGTCCATTGCATGTTCTCCCCCCAGGTGGACGAAGAGTCAGGCCAGTGTCCTGACTGTGTGGTAAGTGCCCTCGGAGCCAAAGTCCTCCTGTCTGAAAAAGAACGGTTCATCAATTTCTTTGTGGGGAACACCATCAATTCTTCCTACCTTCCAGATCATTCATTGCATTCAATATCAGTGAGAAGGCTGAAGGAAACCCAACATGGCTTTAAGTTTTTGACAGATCAATCCTATATTGATGTCTTACCTGAGTTCCAAGATTCTTACCCCATAAAGTACATACATGCCTTTGAAAGCAACCGTTTTATTTACTTTCTGACTGTCCAAAAGGAAACCCTCAATGCTCAGACTTTTCACACAAGAATAATCAGGTTCTGTTCTGTAGACTCTGGGTTGCATTCCTACATGGAAATGCCTCTGGAGTGTATTCTCACAGAAAAGAGAAGAAAGAGATCCACAAGGAAGGAAGTGTTTAATATCCTCCAAGCTGCCTATGTCAGTAAGCCTGGGATCAACCTTGCTAAGCAGATAGGAGCCAGCCCAAATGATGACATTCTCTATGCAGTGTTTGCCCAAAGCAAGCCAGATTCAGCTGAACCCCTGAATCGATCGGCAGTGTGTGCATTCCCTATCAAGTATGTCAACGAATTCTTCAACAAGATTGTCAACAAAAACAATGTGAGATGTCTCCAGCATTTTTATGGCCCCAACCATGAGCACTGTTTCAACAGGGTAAGTCATACAGATCTTTCATTTATAGTTGGGTATAAAACAGAATAAATAATCAGTCTAGAAAAGGATATCAAGGGCTTTTCTGTGATTGGTAAATGACTGGTATCCAAAATAGTTAAAAATTCTTTGTAAGAAAATTAAGAAATTGATCTTCATTTATGACTGAAATCATATCTTATGAAATTAATGTGGGTCTAGTGTGATAGTTGAGTCAGTAAAATGCTTATAGTGCAAGTATGAGGACCTGAGTTCCATCCCCAGAACCCATGTTAAAAATAAACAAAAAAAAAACCAAGTGTGAGATGGCGGGTCCTTGTAATACCAGTGCTTGGAAGGGGGATGGCTGGGACTCACTAGCCAGTCAGCCCAAGGTAACAGCTCTTGAAGATGATACATAAGGTTGACCTCTGGCTCTGCATGCATGCGCACACACATGAGCACGCATCCATTGTCATACACATACACACCTAAAAAATTAACTAAAAGAAAATTTATTTTTATAATGTAAATTTGTGTATCTGTAACATTTTTGGTTTTAGACTGACAATCACTCTATTGAAATGGTATTTTCACAGGAAAGCATGGGAAAATTACTGGTGTTTTGATTTAAATACGGTAGAATTTACTATCTATAGGCAGATTTTTGCTGCTAGTCACTTGGTCACATGGTACCAGAGGAAGGGTACCAGCCTAGTAGGAGTCCATTATGACCTTGGATATTGTGGTATTGAACCTAGATTTTCACATATGGCATAGCTGTGCTTCCTAACGCAGTGATCACAGTGACCCAGAACCAAACAAATAGTATCACCTTGGGTACTTTTGAAAGACATATGGGCTTTGGAAATGTGTCTCTCAGCAGTTTTTAGTCCAAGAAATAAAGGTTGTAAGTGCAACCAGGAAGAACATTGACTATGTACTCAATAAGAGAAAGCATCTAATTCTGAGGAGCATCTAGGGCATATGAATTCAGAACCAAGTGACTGGGTTAGTGAGATGTCTGAGACACTTCCCCAGATCAAAACTTACATTTTTGTATGGAATTCAGAGAATACTTACAAAAAGTTTCATCTTTTGGTGAAATAACTTCCCTCTCTCCTTTCCAAAGGTTATGACAATGTACAACATGCATATACATATATCCCAACTAAGACTTATTGCTCCGCACATGTTTAATATATGTTGTAAACTCTGTAGGAAACAGTGGAATTCCTCATCAAGTTGCCACCCTTTTTTAACTGAAAAACAAAAAAGAAAGGAAGAGAACTAAAAAGGCGTTCAGAAACCTAGGATTCGAAAATAAAAGTGTAATAATTATTGCACTTCAGAGAAAACACTTTTCCTGCATCCTGTAAACAGTTTGAGCAAACAAATTTAAAAAGTACTTATTAAGAGTTCCTCCAAGACATCCAGGGCTCATAACCTTGCTATTTGAATTTTGTTCTGCTAAATGTTAAAAAGACACTTGACTTTGCAAGAGCATATTAGTATCTTATCTCATTGTTTTATTTTGTGCATTTCAACCTCAAGCTGTAAAAATCGTTACTGATTCTAGAATTTCTCCAAACACTTCTGAACTCCATCTCACCCCCTTTGACTTTTTTAGTGTTCCAAAGGGAACAAAGCAGCAGAGTTTTCTAATAAAATGTAGGCCAGTTTTATCATGCAGGAAAAATGCCCAAAATGCCACACCTGAAACCATTATCACTCCCTTCTCAAAAATTCTTGTGGGAAACAAGATGGAACTTGCCAACACAGTCTTACAAGGGAAGCCAAGTTTCATGCTGGCCAAATTCCGTAAAGACAAATACCTGCAAACCTCCTTTGCTTGTTTGCCTGTTTATCTTCTCTGCTTAGCAATGACTGAAATTCTCCTGAAACTGAGACTACACACATTCTCTGTTTTCACATACCCAGCTCACTGAAAGGCCTCAGAGTGTTCCAATAATCAGCATATAGTCATTTCCCAGCTTTGTCTTAAAATGAAGGCAGCAAGAACATTTGTCTGACAAAAACAAAATGATTTACAAGAGTGAACCTGTTAGAAAGCCTGAGCAATAAGATGATTCCATTTTGTCTTGGCAGATTAACTTGGCCATATATCAGGTGACTCTTCTAATAATATCTTGGAACGGAGTCTTTATTTTGGCATGAAGTTTTGTGACTAGAGGGGTATTGAGTAGTTTTGTTATTAACATCTCTAATACATGGTCAGAGATACATGGGAGTTCGTTGGACAAACTGAAGGAAACTATAGCACTCCCTTTCTACCTGAGCTCCCGCCCAGTCCTTAGTGTATGTCAGCAGATCCACCAAAGGGGCTCTCAGCACCCCCAACCTCCCCACCATATGCAAAATCATTTCTACTGTAGTATCAGGCGGAGTGCCAGGAAAGAACATCTTCTATTCAGGGTCTCCAGCAGAGATATCAGGCCTGATTTGCTTATTCGATCACATTGTGTTGCTTTCTCCGCACTTGCATTTCATGTGTGTATCTCGACCACTGTTCACAGGCATCTTTCATACTGACATGAGGAAAGCCCTCTTAAGTTATCTGGTAACTCCCAGAGCACATCATCTTCACCCATGAGTTATTTGTGCTTCGGAGCTTGTCTCCACACGATCCAGTCTCTGAAACTTATCCCAAGAGGCAGGTGCCCATCCATTTAATACCTGTGCTGTTGATTCTTACAGCCCTTCTATAAGAATATAGTCTTGATTTTCGCAATGTAGGCATTTGTTGATTTTTTTTTAATTAAAGGGCTTATTTACAATGACTTCTAAACACGAATTCTATGAGATTACACATCCACAATAATTACAAATTCATCTTAAACATCTTTCCTGCTTTTTTTTAACTCATTCATCAGTGAACCTTTATAAGCATTCCAAATTAGTATTGATTCAGATTGTTTTTAGCTAATGGATATTCCCTAAGTGACGTATTAGTATAAAAAATAAATAATTGAGAATTTGGCACTATAAGACAGATACTTGGTAAGGATTCAAATTTAGGAAAAAAAATAAAACCTCTTCTTTATAATGGGGGATAAATAGCATTAAAATTTTAGGTAATTCATTTCATAATTCCTAGAATCTCCACTAGTCATATATAAGAACTTTATTAATATGACAAGTCCAGGAAAAAAAAAAGAATCATAAGTCTCCTACAAATAAGAATCAGCATCTGAATAGAAGTTTTTAAAATTTCAAAATCAACAACAATTTTATTCCGTAAGTTATAGTGCTTAACTAACAGCCTTGCAATCGTACATTTTAGAAAGATTTTTAATGGAAGTTGAGAAAGAAAAGTGTCTTTATATAAAATACAGTTAGCACATTACAGGTTTTTCCTAAGAAAAACATACTTCTCTATTATGAAAGCATAAAACTAAACATGTAGCAAATATTTAACTCATCTTCTTGGTCATCTTAATGACCAATGATGGGTCAACTTAAAGGGAAAGGAGACATGCAGTACCAGACACACCTGGATGAAAGACCTAGTTTATTGCATACCTGTTGTGTGACTTCTGCTGTGTTAGTTAACTTCTTGAAGGCTGGGTCTCATCAGTAACATGCAGATAACAAAATCTATTTCACAGGCTTTCAGGAAATTGTGGGATGATGTCTAACGTTTATAATGTATAATAAGATTACCATAAATTTAGATCTTTGGGGATCTGTGTGGCCTAATGAAAGAAGACTAAAGCCAGAGAATGAGGTTCAGCTGTACATTGTTTGATCACAAGAGCTTCTTTATAGTCTCTGGACTGGTCTTCCCTCATGCAGAACTTATTGTATGGACAAGGACAATATTGAAAGCGCCCCAACATAGCCCTAGGCTCATAATAAATGACAACTATTATTATAAGGAATGCTTGTAATAAAGAAAGGCAAATTTGGGCCTGGAGAGATGGCTCAGTGGTTAAGAGCACTGGGTGCTCTTGCAGAGGACCTGGCTTCAGTTCCCAGCACCCACATGGTGGCTAACATCCATAACTAGAGTTCCAGGGGAATCCAATACCTTCTTCTCATCTCCTTGGGCATTGCATGACACTCACATGCATGCAGGCAGTGCACCCATGCACATAAAATAAAATAAAACTAATAAAAATAGGGGCTGAAGCAATGGCTCAGTTGTTAAGAGCACTGGCTGCTCTTGCAGAGGACCTGGGTTCAATTCCCAGCACCCACATGGTGGCTAACAACCATCCATAACTCCAGTTCCAGGGGAATCCAAATCCCTCTTCTGACTTCCACGAGCATTGCATAACATGGGTGTACTTACACACATGGAAGCAGTACACTCATACACATAAAATAAATAATAAAATATAAAATAACAATAATGATAAAATATTAAAAAACAGACATTAAAAAAGAAAGGCAAATTCAAATGATCAGATTGTTTCAATAAAAGGGATAAGTTCTTCTGTTTCTCACAAGAGCCTTTCACTTCTCCTACCTGTTACAAGAACAACTTCCACACAACTTAATTTGTTCACATCTTTTAAGAGTTAATATTTTTTTAAAGATAGAATGAGGAGCCGTGACAGTTTAAGCAGGCAGATGGTGGGGAGAGCAACCATCAAACAAAATTGTGGTACACTCAAGAAGAAAGTCTGCCTCTTTCTCTGACTTAAAATTCCAACTACCTGTGGCTCTGCAAGTTATTCTCCCTGTGTGCTTTAAGTCAACTTTGCATTAAGAATTTACAGATAAAACAGTTCCAGAAAAAGTCAACCTCATAGGTTGTTTGTATCAAGCTTCCTTGTTTTTAAAATATCATTTGTGCTCCAATTCAAAGAGTAGCCAACTGCTTCCAAAAATAAAGGAAGCTTAAGGTAGTAATTTTCCATCTCTATTCTGGAGTGCCAGAGTTAAAGGGTCATCGCTCATAGCCATCAAAGGGAGACAGCAAAGTGATTACAATAATTTTCAGTAAGATCAAAAATCAAAACAAGATTCAACTTGTTTTTAAAATATCATTTGTGCTC